AGAAGTTCTGTCGGCTAGCTGGTCCAACAACCTTATAAGGACACTTTGTGTTGTTGTTTCTTTGAATTTGCCTTCCACGTTGCGTAAACAAATGTAGCCAGTTGGCAACTGACACTTTTTTTTAACCTGCTGAGCATAAATGCTCTCTTTCAACAACTCTTTGCCTCACCTACACACTCGGAATCTGTCCAGAAAACCGTTATAAATGTCGACTACTGAGCAGCTTTTATTTGCAGCAGTTGGGGGTTTAAACGATCTGTCAAGGATACAGTTGGTAATGAAACTCAGTCTAGAGTAAAGTAAACACTACGCATTGACAAGGTAGTCACAAGCCTTAAGAATATAGGGGTACCTTAAAGATCACTTTTAAAGGTAGGGTAGGTAAGTTTGAGAAACCGGCTCGAGATACACTTTTTGTTATATTCCATGGAATGCTCTTAACATCCCGATAGTAATGAATATCTTAAGTGCTTTAACAAAAAATCCATAAAAAAATGTCATCTGTGGAAGCTGTAATACTGTAAAAAGCACAACCAATCATTTTAGCCGGCCCAGCTAAAATAACTGGATGGCCTACCTGCCTGTCAGCCTTCCATTTGTGCACAAACTTATCTCGTGCCCTCATTGGTCATGTGCGCGTTCGTGTGTGTTGGGGGAGGGGCTCTATAAGGAAGTGGCAGATTTTCTCCGGTTGTGTATTTTCAAATTCTAGCGATCTCGAGCCGGTTTCTCAAACGTACCTACCCTACCTTTAAGCTATATTTGATCATAAAGAAAAATATATGGCAACCTGTTCATGTACCCACTTATGTTCATATACACAGTATACACGTATTTTGAAGGTGAGTCTGAAAAACCAGTAGGTGCTGTGTCATTACAGTATACAGTAACAGCCCACCAGTTGCATGATGAATGGAGTACAGAATCTCAACAACACTTGCAATAAAAATAAAAATAATGCTTTCTCTTCAAAATCTATTTTATGCTAACAATGAACACTAAAAAGACAAAGCTATGTTACCTTTCTGATTTATTTCGTCTTCCAGTTTTAAGAGATAATGCAAGTTCAACCAACTGTAATGGAGAAATCCTCAAAAGAAGCTAGCTTGTAGTTTTCAAAGCGGGGATCAGCTCACCAGTATTATTATGGACTAAGCTAAACCAAATGCTAACAGTAATTCTCCTGCTAACAGGATGACTGTCAGATGCGCTGAAATCCTGTGCTAGATTTTTCAAGTCTATAGAATAGAAGAATAGAATAGAATAGGGAGGGATGAAACCCTCTTTAATGGTCACACATGCAGAGCACACAGCACACACAGTGAAATTTGGCCTCTGCTTTTGACCCATCCTAGTACAAGGAGTCTAGTACTAGGAGCAGTGGGCAGCTATTGTACAGCGCCCGGGGAAGTCTATGGGACAGCCCTTGTATAAACTATAACTACTAGAAGCTGAAAGAAGTCAGACAGGTATTATAACTGAAAATAGATTATGTGACAGTATGCTAAATCTTTCGAGCAAATTATGTTGAAAGTACATACTACACTTACTCTAATGACGCTGTTCCCTTGTGGTTTTCCGGCTCACCCTTGAAATATGTGCCTACATGAGCATGTTACAGTCATTTTTCCATCGCATACCAATTGCTTTAAAATGACTGTGAAGTGTGTTGAGATGTTGACTTCAAATATGTTTTTTCCTTGAACATTTCTAAAACGTTATTCTAGTCCAATCAATAGGGAGGATTTAGGCCTAGGTTGAAAAGGGTGCCATTACTTCATTAATTCATCTACCTCAGTTTGGGGAAACATTTCTTAAGTTTCCTACCAATGTTGCAGAATAAACTATCCTGAGGCTTTAAGATAAGATAAGATGAAACTTTATTTATCCCCTTAGGGAAATTCAGGCGTTAATAGCAGCAACAGTGTCAGAATGAAAAACAGGATTCACACAGGGTAAAAATATAGATAAAATAGAATAAAAGTAAAAATAATAATACAGCAAAAATAAAGTGATAAGTAACTATTAAAACAAGATATTACAGTAACATGTGCATTTGTTTTTTTTTGTGACCAATTTGTTATTGTTTTTTTTTGTTTGCCCTCACAGAGGGACTTATATACACAGATACAAATTATATAGACAATATAGACAATAATAAAAAAAGACAAATAAAAGACAAATAAAAAAAAAAAAAAAATAGGGAATCCCTTTCCCATGCCACCCCGTCCCTCCCCCTTCCCACCCATCTTGCCATTTCACAGAAAATCCTATGTTTGTTAGCAATCGTCTGAGTTCATCTATCTATTATATTATATATATTATTTATATTATAGCATAACAATTTATCCACATAAAATACATTCATACCTTTTTTTTCCACATAACATTTCATCTGTTTAAACTGAATTGAGATTGACTCCTAATAATCTACAATTGCACCAAGGTGTGCATATATGTACAATCATAATTTACATGAATGATATTACCAGATCAGCAGCTCTTTGAATAGCCTCTAATGTTTCCCCCTTAGCCTTATTAGCAGAAGCGATTGACAGCTCTGAGATTAGTAGGTCATGGAAGGATGATATCCATTGCTTGATAAATAAAGTATGTGGGGGTTTCCATCGTATTACAATTATTTTTTTGGCTGCTGTTAGACCAGCGAAAAGCACCCTTTTCTGATGGTTCTGTAGGTCAAGAGAAGAATCGTAATTCAACAATACAATATTTGGGAGACGGGGTATGTGAACTCCAATAATCTCAGATACAATGTCAATAACTTGTTTCCATAACGTTCTTACTGCAGTACATTCATAAACCATGTGTACATATGTGCCAATAGTCTTTTGGTTACAGAGTAGGCATATGGGGCTTGGAATCATCCTTAATTGACAGCATTTTCTGGTTGACAGGTAATATCTGTGTATCATTTTATACTGTATCAATTGGTGATTGTGGTTACGCGATGTTTGTGCATTTGTATGAACATGTTAAATATATTTACATACTGTAAGTGCAGATGAGAGTGCAGGTTAAAGTCTTGTAAAACAGTGCAGTTGTTATGTTTAAACAGTCCTGGTTACTATTTGAGAACTCTTCTCAGACCGCTTTTAGTGTCTCCAAACAACTAAACAGTACAAATCTGTTATTTTTGCGTTCTTATTGGTCGTCGTAATGTCCTGATTTTTCCTGTTGTAGTGTATACATATTCTTTACAAAGGAATAACGTTGTAATAAAGAATAAGCAGCAAACAAAAAAACATTTGATTCTGAGTAACTGACACGGATATCAGCCGCTCTCATCACTGCTGTGTACATTTCTGCTGAAGTGTGTGCAAGAAATGGTGATGTAGATAAGTTGAACTTCCTCAGAATACCTGATATTTTTAATATATAAACAGAATCTCGGACGGAAAGACTGAAATAATGGCGAGAGACACACAGACAAGCGGCCTTTATCAGTTCCGGCATTTTCTTATTCAATTGTGTCTCAGAAGGATGTCTTGTTTAGTTTGGATACAAGTCCAGAAATGTGTGTTTGAGTGTGTGTGTATGCGTGTGTGTAGGCAGCTGACCCTGCTGTGAACAGGGCCACTGTGCAAGACCACAGAGAGACCATTCTTCACTGTGACACAAACACACACACTACTACACACACTCACGGCCATCATCTCTCTCCACTCTCGCTCTTACTTCGTCACATTCACTTACACACACAAGCACACATACAGAGGGAGCAAGAGAGTCACTAACCATCGTTCTCTTATTGTCGTGCACTCACACAAACACAACAGTCTTGCACTTTCTCTGTTTTCTCCCCAACACACACACCAGTGACTGTGTCCGGCCACATAATGAGCATTATTCCACCATGCTGACTGTGACTCACTGGTTTCGCTCAGGAGACTGGAATGTAAAGCTTCATGTCTTCAATATATTTTACACTTAAAAACATAAATAATTAGGCAAAGTTCAAATATAATGCTGTTAATCCTGCACAGCTCTCTACTTTAAATTGCAATATTTGTCATATTTTTACTGTACTTTTTTTCTTATCATACAATATTAGTCATTGGGCACATGGGAAGTCTGTTTTTTTCTCAAATCTAATGAAGTATAAAGGAAAAGAGGTAGTGACATGTGCTCAAATAATTAATAAAGTATGGACAGATTTTTCAAAAAGAGTTGTTCATAAAATGTAAACCGTTGATTTCTCACATTAGTTATCTTTATGGAGCCTGCTTATGTGTGAGTGTGTGTACAATTTCCTTGAATTCTTCTCTGTAGGCCTACTTTACATTGTAGTCGTGAATTATTATCTATTCACTTACCTTTGTTAATTATTAATTCATCAGTCAATATGTATACTACTACTGAGATGTTCTCGCGATAACTGAACTTCTCCCCACAAAAACACAAACACTCGCGCGCACATACACGGAGGTACACGTGGAGAGATTGTTCAACGTTACTGCATTTGTTAACTTATGTTGAGCTTAATGTGTAAACTTTGTTTCACCGGGGTTAACTAGTTGTCATGTTATCCGAGTCGCGTAAAGAAAGAGAAAACACTTCCATGAGCAAACCTCAGCTGCGTCAAGTTAAAAGAAGTTACTGCAATCCAAGACCGGATGATGCTCATTTCACAACACGCTTTAATGAAGTTAATTATAAAATGTTTAGCCTGAAGCAGAGTAAAAATACATACTAAAGTATGTAGGGTACTGTGTACCTAGTAGTCCAACTGGAAGTTATCTTCCAACATGCTAGCGCAACTTTAAAAACCCATACGTTATGTGATATTCGATTTTTCTAGATGCACTTTAAGACAGTTAAGACTGTTTTGATAAAACGTATGACTTTTTAATACAATTATGTTGATGTCAGTGTCATTCCTCTCTTTAAAAAGTGGAAATATAACTGCAAATAGTAACGACACTTATTTTGAAAGGTGGGTCCGGAAGTGGTGTTTTTGACGCTGCAGAGCTAAACTTCAGAATGAACCCGACCAGAGGAAAACCCGTTAGTTTGTAGAGAAAACTGTGAGCGTCCATGTCTTTTCCACAAATATCAACCCGCTGACAAACTTATTGGCAGCAATGTCGAGAGAAAACACCACTCGAAGTTTGGACAGCATAGACCTCGCTGCTTTAAGGGTAAGTTCAAAACTGTTGTCTTGCTTTTTAATGAAATGTTTGAGTAAACATTGGAGGATGTGGTGGGTGTTGCTTTGAAACTTAATGTTCCCCCTTGTCTAACAGTCGGCTCTCACTATGTACTTTATAACGTTATATATCGTGTCTTAACTTGGTGTTTAATGCGTTGAAAACATTATAACATTACCCTGTAACATTACGCTATCTGTCTGCACTGTGTCCAGTTTGCTGAAACTTTACAAGCTACAGTGTTTACACACAGGACTTTCCTTTGGCTGGCTGCCTTGATTGAAAAGTTGACATGCAACAAGTGAAAGCTAACCATGATTCACTTTGTGTAATTATTGGCAAAAAACACTCTAGTTAGTCAGTTTATGGAAGTATTTGTCTTCTTTTGTTCTGCACAATACTTTTGACATTTTCCCTTATTATTTTGCATAGGAAATGACTGTGTGACTCAAGTATGTTTACTGTCATGTTATTGGATTTTTGAAAAGTTGTAGCTTATAGTATTTTAATGAAACAAACATATTATATCAATAATTTCTTAGCAGTTTCTTATAACTCACAATGTTATCCTTTTTGCAGTCCCACTTCCTTAGTCTCCATCCCAGTATAACCCTGCATTGTTCTTCTCCATTTGCCCTCAGTACCAAGAATCAACAATTCAAAGGCTGTATTGTCACATACACACCAGTAACAGTGTAGTTGTTGCTAATGAATGTATTAAGTCTAAGGCTCCTCTAACAGTGCAACATACAAGATACTTAAAAATAAGTAAAGTAGTGCAAGACACACTGGTGCAAGTAAAATGCAGGAATAACTAAACTATATACGTCATGTAAAATAGAATAAGATTAAATGGAACGCACAATTAAATACTGTACAGGGTAATAAAATGATGGGTGCACAATGAATCAACAGGTTATAAAAATTGCAATTTGAAGCAGTGTCATCAAAATCACATTAAGCGCAATATTTTGTAGAGGCAAAAAATGTGAAAATATAATTTAGAATGATTGTGTTGCTGCAGAGACATAACGGCCTTAATAAAACATTTTGTATAGTACAGATCCTTTAAGAAATCTTGACCAATCATCATTTGTAATTTTTTTTCCAATGATGTATGATAAATGGGTCATTTGCTAAGATCGCAAATCATATCCCAATTGCAATATCAGTCGGTAGACTTATTGCAATTAGCTATTTTTTCAAAATATGTGGACTGTTAAAAGATTGACAGATTACATAATACTGTTTAGTACTGTATCGTTTTGTGTCGTCTGAACCTGATTTTACCACTATATATTTGTGTGTAGTGAAATCTGCTCAGCTAATGCTTAGCATCAATCCAATCTGAGCCTCATTTCTTTATATTTTTTCCTATTTTTATAGGATCCAGCAGGTATCTTCGAGTTGGTGGAGGTGGTCGGAAATGGAACGTACGGTCAGGTGTACAAGGTGAGTACTCCCATGATGCCTTCTGCCAATCTTTTCCCATCGTAAAAGATGTGTGTTGCATGCATGGCAGAACGTAAACACAGCTGCAAACTGAAGCTGGTGCCCCACAGGAACGCATACGGCAAAACGCATAGGATTAACGCAATCGCAATCGCAAAAAAGCTTCCGTCCACACGCAATATACACCGGATAGTGTCTGTTCACACGAGACAGCTCCGTTTAGCTCCAACCACTGGAAAAAGCTGCAGTACATATGCCGAGCCTGTACGTGGCGCTGTAACTTCCTCCAGAAAAAGCAGCGAAGAAGCATGGTTGTCATGGTTGCCCTTCTGTTTATTCACTGTGGTGGGGGCCGAGGGAACCGGGCAGAGTTTTTCGCCGGTCAACGTGTGTAAAAGTTTAAATCTTCCGGACAAAATTATAAAAGTGCCGGTCAAAGGTCTTCTTTGTTATTTATTGAGCTTTAAAACAAATGAATAACGACGATATAATGATATATAATAATAAAATACACGGAGGCTGTCTCTTTTTCCTCTCTTCTGACAGCGTCAGTGTCTGTCTCATGCAGCAGCTGATCCAGTAATGAGTGACCCGGCCGACAGTAAAAAATAAACATATTTATAACTAGTTTAGGTAGTTTGAGAGGTAGGCTAATTAAAATAGCTAAGGGTGATGATCTGACTTGAAGTGTGTGTTAGCGGGAGGAGCTGCGTGTCTCCGTCCTGTCAGATTAGACTTCACTCGCGTTTATGTCCATATCGAGATAAAGATAAATAATCTGAATTCAGTGTGCAGTTTACTTTTGCGGGGGTGAGCAGCAGAGGTGGGGGGAGGCAGGGCTATTGCGTCATCATTATCACAAAATGATCGTATAGAGGCGATCACACGGAGCCGTTGGACCCCCCAGAGCGCTCCATTCCCAGATCTATCCACCTTTGGACCCGTTATCGTTTGCGGGGTCCGTTTCTATCGTTTAGTTACGGCCTCGTGTGGCAAAAAGGGCTATACGCAAGAGAAATATGCGGATACAACCCGTTTTCGTCCTCGTGGGGCACCAGCCTAATACTGATATATCATGTTTCCATTTAAACACTGTTTACATGGCAGTAAGTGAGATCATAAAAATAGCTTGTTGTAATTAAAGACTTCTCACAAGCTGCACACCGTGAGCCTCCAGAAGCCTGCGGACACACGGTATAAAACACGTCACTTCTGGTAAAACGTAATGCTAACACGCTACTTCCAGTCAGTTAGGAGGAAAGAAGAAGAAATTCTCAGCTGACTGAAATATCCTGTAGCTCTTACAAGCAGAACACACATACACACACATGAGAATCTGTAGCATCTTTTAAAGGCCCTGGGTGGGGCTCACTTCCTTATCGCAATATCTGTTTGTGTATGAGTGGTGTGGTTTGTGGTTGCAGGAGGTGTTTAGTCTTATTAGTTCTGTGCAGATGGTAGTGCCCTGAGTGCAATTTATGCTTGCATGTTTCTGCAATAACACAAACTGTGTTTTGCAAAACCTTTGTGGCACACTCTCAGTTTTCAACCTTTCAAAAAAGAGATCTTCTTAGGTAGGATGAATGTACCACAGAGGGGTTCAGACCCATTTTAATTTTTAGACTTAAAAACTCATTTCTGTCGGGCTGCTTTCAAAAGATGTACCAGCCTTACAAAACAAAACAAAAAATGTATAAACAGGATTACGTCAAATTGCTTCAATCCAAAACAAATTAAGCAAGAGCAATAGAGTTGTACGCGGAGGGTTGTTGTATTTTTTGCACAAGGAATAGATGCAAATTCATGTTAGCTTCAAATCACTTTTTTCTCACATGTATATCATTATCAACAATAAATACTACATTAAGTTGGCTAAAAAAGTGACTTGGACGAGGTCTCCCTTAAAATGTGTTATATCGCTTAAAACGGTGAGAATATAAATGAAGGTACAGGTCAAAAGTTTAGGGTTTAGGAATGAATGAGGTCCATGGATGGTCTGTGTGTGTGTGAATGTGTGTGAGACAGAAGGTGGGTGTGTGCCTCGATTGCCACTTGATTTCCTGAAAGAGGAAATGTTGCAAGAGATGCACACAGGACAGTGAGGCCTGTGTTGCCTTTACACAGGGTGCTTTTACTCCGGGGTAACACAAATCACTAATTTCATCTAATGACTCACATTCATTGATGCTGTATCAAGGAAAAAACCTCCATTATGGACTAATATTGGATAATCCAATTAAGTGGACGTGGACTGAACACTTGTACGATTTTATTGTAAGCGATTAGTTTATTTATTTGGCAGTTCTGTATAACTCCACAAGGATTTGCGCTAAAGCACCACATTATATTTGTGTTTACAAGATATTGACTCAAAGTTTCTTAGAAATAATTAAAAAATCTACTTAAAGTGGACCTATCATGCTATATTATAATAATATAGTGTAGGACCATACCTACAGTATATAAGGCATATTTATACTTTTTTTTTCTCAAAATACCAAACCGATCATGCATTTTAGCCATGCCTCATTTCGCTCAATTTGCACTATTTTACCCCTGTTTTTGCAAGGGCTGATTCTGTGAGAACAGCACCACCTACAGGCCTGGCATATGTACTACAGCGTCTCCAGCGCTTTCCAACGGCAATGGCCGTGGCTGTCTCCTCCTGATTGGTGGAGTTGGCCCAATAGCCGTAGTGCCACCGTCCTGACGTCAGGACAGTGTTCAAATCTGGATCAGTTTTGATCAGATCCGTTGCAGCCCCTTTTTTAGAGATTTGGGTATGGAGGAAAATAGAGAGGGTTGTGTTTTCTGACACTTGGTGAGTTCCCTGGAACACCGGGGACACATATTCATGTATAAAAGATGTACAAAAGTGCATTTTGCATGATCGGTCCCCTTTAAGGATGGGCAATATATAGATATGTTATCAATATCGTGATTTGAGATTATATCTCGTTCTACATTTTGGATATTGTGATTACTTACTGATTTTAAAGGATGCATTACATTTAAGGGATCTAATGTTCTTTACTTACCAAACTTTTCAATTATTTTATTTGTATCCACTAAGCCAGTGGTTCTCAACTGGTGGGTCGCGACCCAAAAGTGGGTCGCGGACCCGTTTCGAGTGGGTCGCGGATGTGTGAGTGAAGAAAAAAAAGTTGGAAAAAAAAGAATTGGAATTTTTTTTTTTTTTTTGGGGGGAAAAAGTCAAACTTTTATTTTGAAGGCCCGATTTTCTTCTCAGAGTGTACCAGAATGCGTAGTTTATGTTAGTATTTCTAAAAATCTCCTGGGGGAGAATCCCCCCAGACCCCCCTGCTTGGGTTGGGTTTCAGCATGTGTGCCTTTTTATATAGTTCAGCTTTGATTCCATCATCTCATTAAACCTTTTTTAAAAGCATACTTTAGTTCTGTGAAGGGATATAAGGGATATATGCACTGTACTTCACTTTTATTAATATTGTATGCTCAAAAGCGTATATATTACAGCACGATTTTTTGTTGAATAGATTTGAGTGCTTCAAAATGTTGGGTCGCGATGTATTGACCAAGTAAAAAGTGGGTCCCGAGGCCTGACCAGTTGAGAACCACTGCACTAAGCCATTATACTCTAATGATTATTTGTCAAAAGCTCCTTCCGTAAATATTTTATGGAAGCACCAATATCGTCGCAAAAATTGATATCAAGGTTTTTGGTCAGAAATATCGGTATATTTGAGAGTTTTACATTGACAAAGGAATTATTTTTGGACTATTTGCAAAATGAAACATTAGTTGACATCTTTGTATTTAAAACAAGTGACTGAAATAACGATAAGATGAGTTGCTATAAAATAAATTTGGATGTAAGTGTATGATGCTTAGTGACAATCAAGTGAACCCAATGTGGACTCCGCAAATCTGTTTCCAGATACAGAAACTCAGAAGTGTGTTTGTGTTTCAGCCATACTGTGAGTCTCACATGGGAAACCAGGGCAGGAATAGGGCCTTTAGAACAATGACTCAAGCCGCACACACACACATTTGGCACTTAAGAAAACACTCAGTTGTGGATTGACGTGAGTGCAGGAGATGCTGACAAAGCATCTGGTCATTTCCTCTGTTTACTTATATGTGAGTTTCATTACACTGCATTTATTAGCCTTTTAAGTAATTTCACTCCAGCAAATACAGCAACAGATGATCAGATCTTAACTCGAAGTGTAAACATCTGTATTACCATTTGGTAAAATAATGATTTTTAGGCATCATTTCATGATTATACGTGATAATATTGTGAATCGCAATTATTTTGGCCAATAATGCTGACAAGAAATGTTCATATTGTTTCTTGCCTACTTTGTAGTTTAGTAAAATGTGTTTGAATTGATAGTATTAGTTTTTTATTGTTGTATAAAGGCTTGCAACAGACAGCAGAAGCAAAAGGCCAAAACAGAGAAATGTCTGGTTTTGCGAAAAAGTAGTTTTCGTAAGGTCTAATATGGGTTTACAATCTAACATTTAGCAACATGCAGGGCTAAGGTAAGGTCAGTAAAGTTGGGCAAACAAATCTAATTGGGCAGGCAGCAAGTAAACACACATATACAGCATTTATCAAGAAAATCAAGGCTCAGCTCGGTGGTAATGACTGAAGCACCGTGGATCTTGGCAACATTGACCCTCTGAGAATCTGTAGGAAAAAGGAGTCCTCTTCTGTGTGAATGAATTACAAAGAATCAGGCAGGTGTCTCAAGAAAAGCAAGACTAAGTAAAGTCAGAATGTGGAAAATAAAAAAACACACAAAATGAAGTTTAGAAGAGCTAAAGGGCAAAGACGCTGAAGAGATAGATGGAGCAAGAGGTTTATATGTGCACAGAAATGGAGCAGGAATGAATCCCAAGATTTCTATGTTTTGTTCTACAGCTCAAAATACTTCAGTATATTCACCCCTTGTAAATGCCCGAAGCATCTATGCGTCAAAGAAACGGCGGTTGCAAACAAGTGGCTAAAAAAG